ATTATGACTATTGAACAGGGGTATACTACTGTTGCCTTTACTTATATCCACGTCATTTGGACTCTTGAGGATAGTTGTCTCATTCATGCCACAATATTGGCAATCATACCACATCCCCTTAAAAGATATTGACGAAACTAAAAACATTTACAGTATAAACCTAATCGTTACATTTAATGTGTTCTAGTGAACTGCATGTTAGGTTCATTTGTATTATAATACCTGTAGGTCGCTAGAAAACATTGACACTTAGATTAGGATTACTGTAAATGTTTTTATTTTTGCCAAAATCGCAACAGGATTATCATGATTATTATTAAAAGGTTATGCAACAATAAAAACTAGCATTTTAAATTTTCATAGCATTATTTGTATGAAATATTTCCTGATAATTAATCTTGCATCTTTGTCCATTGTTTAACAATTACAATAATAAACGCTTTCAAAAATTTCATATTTACTGGATTTATATACACTAAATATTTCAAAACTGTGTAACTTGTAAACTGTGAAGTCAAACATTTTGATTTGAACATCCTATCAACAAACAATAATTCCAGAACCAAAAACTGACAATAAAGAACCATACGATTTACCATTTATAGGATATTACTTTACATATCAAATAAAAAAAAAGTTGTGGGTCTATAAATCAATAGTCAATTATGTGATTAAAGATTTGAAATACTTTCTATCTTTAAGTATTAACTATTTAAACATGTTGTACTGTTACACAACTGTCCCATGTAAGGGGGAGGGTTTGGCGCCAACAAACTAGTTTAACCCTGCCACATTCTGTATGTGTTTTCTGTCCCAAGTCAGGAGCCAGTAATTCAGTGGTTGTCATATGTTGTTGTATATCACATCTGTTATTTTCGTTCATTGGTTTGTACATAAATCAGGCCGTTAGTTTTCTCATTTGAATTGTTTTACACTTGTCATTTCAGGGCCTTTTATAGTTGACTATACAGTATTAGTTTTTATCATTGTTGAAGGCCGTACGGTGACCTATAAATTCTTAACTTCTATCATGTCTATGTCATTTGGTCTCTGTTGGTCATTATTTCTTAATACATAATTTACAAGCAGTGTAATGGAGGTAATCAAACATATATACAACAGTATTCTTTAAATGGATTGGATTACCTCCCTTACACTGCTTTTAAATTGTCTAAATTGTCCTTTAACCATAAAAACCCTTGTTTTTCCCCCTTTTTTTCCCCTAATTGCTAAATGGTATGAGCCATAACCCCGCATAACCATCCCTTTGTTGTATGGAAACTTGTGGTATAATTTCAGAGAGATTCATACACTTAAACACAAGTTATTGTCTGGAAACTGCAAAAATGCTTATTTGGGCCCCTTTTTTGGCCCCTTATTCCTAAACCTTTGGGACCATAACCCCAAAAATCAATCCCAACCTTCCTTTTGTAGTTATAAACCTTGTGTTAAAATTTTATTGATTTCTATTCACTTAAACTAAAGTTATTAACCGGAAACCATCTGTCAGACAACCCTGACGACGACGACGACAACGTGATACCAATATACAACCAAAAATTTTTTAATTTTTGCGGTCATATAATGAATAGTCAATCCTAAAAAAATCCTCCTTCCCCCCCCCCCCCCCCCTATCAAATTGTCATCACCTAAATCACAATTTCTCCTATTTAAACATACAAAATGTACTTTAAATAAGCTTAAAGAAAGGACTACACATTAGGCTTTAGTATATAACTTCTCCAATAATCTGAGGCCACTGATATTTGCATACTGTCGATTAACTTAACTTCCTAAGGTATCAATTTTCACAGATAAAGGAAAATTCTATTTTCATCAATATATGAAAAAGAAGTGTCGCACGCCGCGTTGCAAATTCACCATGGACCCACCATGCATGACAAATTTTCTATGGAAGATACTGATGATTTCCTTGTTTAGCCAAAGTCTGTATACAAGCCTTAGATAGAAAATTAAATACTTCATTGTTGTTAACCTACAAATGTATATATACCATTGTATACCCTCTTAATAAAGAAAAAATAGGTATTCTAGGAATAAGAATAATCGTATACAAAGTTGATGAATTATTAGCTGAAGTGATGACCATTTTAGAGAAAATTACATACTCTTTCACACCTTTGATTAAAAAAAATTAAAGATCCCACATATTATGAAGACGTTACACATATTATAGACATCAACGTTTTCCCTTCAGGACTATAGACAAGACGTTATATAATCATAAACATTTATCAAGTAACACATTCTTCTGTACATTGTATAGTAACACTCTGTATAATTGGTTTTACATCAAGTACAATTTGTAGAATACCAAATACATGTAACAGTCAATTTACTTACATGGATTTTCATGGGAACTGGTTTTTGTTCATTGAGAAAAAAAAAATTCTTGAATATTTAAAATTCGTGGATTGACAACTGTAACATTCATCTTACATACTAGTACAAGCTTAAGCCTATATGAGTTTATGAAATGTGTATTTTGTTCATCTCTATGTATGGACTGTGTATTTTGTTCATCTCTACATGCTCTATGAGGGTCTGTATGGTGTTTACAGAAAAGAGAATAATGGGCAAAATGTGCAGAATAAAGGGCTTAAAAATATAGAAAAATCGTCCAAAATAAAAATAAATAGAGAATAATGGGGTACTAAATATAAAGAATATAGAATAACAGGCCAAATTTATAAAGAATATAAAAAAATGGTCTAAAAAAAAATTAAGAATACAGAAATGAAGGACACCTGTGTATGAAATGTGTATTTTGTTCATTTCTTTGTATGAAATGTGTATTTTGTTCATCTCTGTGTATGAAATGTGTATTTTGTTCACCATTATGTCATGTATGTATGAAATTTGTATTTTGTTCATCTCTGTGTATAAAATGTGTATTTTGTTCATCTCTGTGTATGAAATGTGTACTTTGTTCACCTCTATATAAGAAATGTGTATTTTGTTCATCTCTGTGTATGAAATGTGTATTTTGTTCACCTCTATGTATGAAATGTGTGTATTTTGTTCATCTCTATGTATGAGATGTCACATGTGTATTTTGTTCACCTTTATATATTAAATGTGTATTTTGTTCACCTCTATGTATTAAATGTGTATTTTGTTCATCATATTCATCTCTGTGTATGAAATGTGTATTTTGTTCATCTGTATGCACATAATATATTTTCTCATAAATAATGAATGAATCCACAATGCTATACAAATTAAGGATTTAACCATGTTTAACATGGTAAATTCCAGAGGCCTAGGCTAAAATCTAAATATCAGAGCTGGTTATTTTGCACATGAAACTATCATACATGTATAGTTCCAAAAGGCTAAAATTAGGGCTGGAAAAATACCAACATTTCACCAGCATTAACAGTGTCAGAACATGGTGATTATTCACCAGCATTAACAGTTTAGATCATGGTGATAATTCACCAGCATTAACAGTGTCAGATCATGGTGATAACTTTCACCAGCATTAACAGTGTCAGATCATGGTGATAATTAACCAGCATTAATAGTGTCAGATCATGGTGATAATTTTAACCAACATTAACAGTGTCAGATCATGGTGACAATTTTCACCAGCATTAACAGTGTCAGATCTTGGTGACAATTTTCAGCAGCATTAACCATGTCAGATCATGGTGATAATTCACCAGCATTAACAGTGATCATGGTTATTTATCGCAAACTTTTTAAAATTGAATCACTTCAATGGGTCATTTGGGGGAAAATGTGTCATGGGACATTGTGACGCAAAGATATTTGCTAGGTGATGTCATATTTTTCCGGGGAAAAACACCTGTTAGAAGATCATGTAATCTTACATGTACAATGTACATACATGTATTTGAAACCTTGAGAAAAGAAGATGTATCTTTTAACATGTTTAACTTACCCTTTCTACCAGAAATCATTCTAGATCTAAACTTTATGTTAAATCATGTCCAGATATTAATCAAATGTTAAATACATTCAAATTTCAAAACATACATCCAGGACGATAAATGACCAACAAAAAGTACAAGTCAGTGTTCGGTATAAAGATGTTAACTGTACCATATGTACAAGTATACATTTCCTGGAAATTAACCTTAATTTACCTGGTGTGTGTATTGATAAATATAAAGGACTACATTTTAACAACTAAACAATTGCTGACCTTTATGTTGGAGCATGTATAGGAACTTAAATGGCAGGTGCTTTTCATCACCGTTGAGGTGAACACAATTGACAGCATTGGAAAGTGTACCAGACATGGTTAACCGTACGTTTATATAGGTGTTTTTTATACCTTAATCTCAAATGTCATGATTGTTTCTTAACAGGAAATGCACAGAATAAAAAAACAATTTATGAATACATGTGCAATATTTACAATATATATTATTTCATCATGATCTCATAAAAACCAAATTCCTCTTTAAATGATAGAAAAATGCAGTCACTCAAAACTAAAAAAAAATCATTTACATTGTTTGAATGCATGTACATGTGCAATATTTACAATATATATATTGTTTCGTTATCACATAAAAAGTAAAATCCTCTTCACATGTTCACCGAACTTCACATATTAAAGAGTAATAGAAAAATGAAGTCACTCATAAATTATTTTTTTGAAATATTTATTTGCCCTGGAAGAATGAAGAAAGCAATGTTAAAAAAAATCCATTGTTATTATTTCTAAATGAATGCCTGACATTCTTTGAAGTGAACACTGAACTATTGTGAATAACTGGAGACTTTTGACTTACACTGCAGATTTTTTTTATGTTTATCCATTATAGATCATATAACTTCCATTTCATTCATCCAACCCCGCCTCTTTATCCATTTTACGACTTACACGTACATTATTCAATCAAGCGTGTCTCTTTGTCTATTGTTTAATTTACTTTGCCTCTTTGTCCATTGTTTTACTTACCTTATCCATCCAAACCTGCCTCTTTGCACATTTTTTAACTTACCTAGTCCATCCAAGCTTGCCTCTTTGCCCATTGTGGTAGTATTCATAATATTGTGGAAACCAAATCTGAAACTTTTTTCATAAGGCCATCGCCATCTCCTTCTACACAAGTCTGCAAATTAAATAAAAAAGTGTTATAGGTACATTGTATATGTTGTAAGAATACATACCTTGGTCTACATAACCAATATAATATACATTGGGTAACAAGTGTGGATACAAACACTAAACATAATTGCTAATGGCTAATTGAACTCGCTATTCGATCACCACATTGGCGAAATGAAATAAAAATTGGAAGTACTGTATAATATATAGTATTGTCCCTAGTTTTATGCATTCAGCACTCCTCAACAGGTTTGGTGAATGGTAGTGGAGTTAGCTGAACACTCTTTTAAAATCCTGCCATGCTCCGTAGCAGACATCTGGTTTTAATTTAATACCACCTTTAAACTGGTTGCAGAAACTGCACCTGGCAACGCTCCTTAATAAAATAGATTGATCAACAAGGGTAACATATTTTGTGGCTTATGATTCTGTATGGGGCTAAAGAAAAATCACCATCCCCTACAACATAAGTACAAAAGTGTAAAAAAAAATCCAAGAAATTTATTATACTGAGAATTCATTTATATTTTCTGTTACTAATTAAATAAAAGGTTACATATTTTATGCATTGTATTTTTCTGATTTTTACATATTGTTTTTTTTTCAAGTTTTGCATACACAGAAGTTTGAAAATCATTTGACATTTGAGAAGTGGTTTACAGAATCCACCAAAGTAGTACCCCACGAAAAATAATAAAATCCACATAGAACTTTCCTACAGATTATTGATGAAAACTTAGTTTATTAACTCACAAACTTAATAAAAGCATGAAGGCCTTTTATGTCAGACAAGTTTGTGAGTTAGCCGCCAAGTTTACATTGTTGTCATAAGTAACCTCAGGAAAATGTGTTTAATCCTAAGTGTTTTCCCTAGAGGTTTTATACATGGTGGTGCCCCCAGGCATCAATTTAGGCCCTATCCTTCAAAATTCATGACCACTATATCCTTCAAGCAATTTCTCAATTCTCAAAAAATCTCTATGGAAAACCACACCGTGTATCCCGATCTGATGCCGCTGAGAGATCCAAATCCTGAGGAGCAATAAATGAAAAGTTTGTAATGGTGGGAAAGTAACATCTGGATCCTATTACCACAGAAGATAGAATGACATGCTTTGCCTATTGAGGTACACCATCTTGCTCTGTTCTGAGTTAAAAGTCTGATTAGGCCTACTATCATGCTCAGGTCCAAATTATGCTGAGGCTCACTGTCTCACTCCTTACTAAGTTTGTGCCTGATGAGACACACTATCTCTCTGTGTCCATTCTAAGTTCATGCCTGATGAGAAACACAATCTTGCTTCATTTGAGTTCATGCCTGATGAGGCTCACTATCTCTTTTCGTTCATTCTAAGTTCATGTCTGATGAGGCCCACTATCTCTTTCCGTCCATTCTAAGTTCATGCCTAATGAGGCACACTATCTCTCTCTGTCCATTCTAAGTTAATGCCTGATGAGGCACACCATCTTTCTCTGTCCATTCTAAGTTCATGCCTGATGAGGCATACAATTTCGCATTATTTGAATTCATGCCTGATGAGGCACACTATCTTTCTCCATCCGTTCTAAGTTCATGCCTTATGAGGCGTGCACCCCATCTAACTTTGTTCTAAGTTCATTCCTCATCAAACCATCTCACTCTGTTCTGAGTTCATGTCTGATGAGGCACACCATCCTGCTCTGTTCTGAGTTCATGTGATTCCCTCAGATTGGTACATGTACATTTTGGTACAAATTGTACATTTGGAATGGATCTACAAGATTGGAACATCAGTAAACTATTTTTTTGGCTTACAACATGTACAATATCCAGAAGGTAGAAGACTATTGCAGAATTCATTTAACATATGGACATGTTTGTAAAGTCATGATAGTTTATAACTGATGAAAGTGTCTATCATGCAGTGACCATATTGTTACAACATGTAAACATATGTAGATACAAATGAAGAAGCAAAAAACAAATTCTTTTAATATATTTAATTTGTGCACCACTAGAAGCCGAGTTGTGCAAAGCCTGAAAACGTAAGTATAAATAAGTGCAAACAGATGTTGAAATAACGTGAAAGTGCTTATATTCAATGAATACAGCCAAAAATGGAAGAGGCAGAGCTCTGTACATTATTTCAATATACATGTACAAGTATGGTCAAGGCAAATTCTAATGAACAATAGCCAAAGTTTTTGTACAACATATATCTAATTCAGCTACATTCATGACATTTTGTTTTAACTTAAGTAAATAAGGACTGATTGTATAGAATTACGCTAGTACACTATCAAGATTCACATGAAAAAGTATTCAACTTAGCAGGTGCTTGAACATAAACAATGATGATCAAGTTTTACATAAAGTTTTGTTACATGTGACAGTACAGAATTTGAATGCATGTTTTAATTTTATAACATATATGTATATACATGATATAGAATTGAAGGTAAAAGTGGGAGGTTTGTGCCCATGTAAAATTGGTTAAACAGGGTTCTCACTAAGGATTTTTGAAGGCAAGTCCAGGGACTATTCTATATTTCTATATCATTAATTATTTCAGTCCCCATGACAGAACTGAGCAAGGAAATGACATCAAAATTGATCAAATTTAGGTTTTGTTTATACTTTTGTCATGTTTGTCATAAAACATGTAAAAAGAAGATATTTGTGCTCAGTTGATACAACATTTTACAATTTTGATGAATCTTTGGGCTCACCAGTTTTGAAAATGATCCAGACAGCTTTCCATGAGTCCAAGACTCATGCATGGACTTGCCTTTGTAAGAACCCTGGGTTAAACCCCAATGTGCCTGTAACAAACTAACAAGTCTCCATTGTACATGTAGCTGGACCATATATATAAATGCTATTTGTTGTTGTTTAACTATGTTTGCACACCTATCATGTATTTTCTTAGAAGTGCCAGGTGTTAAATTAACTTAGGTTTCAATAAATTCAATTTGGTTGTTTCTGCAACTTGCTTGCTTTTTGAAAATATCTCCATTGCATGTAATTCTTTTTACCAGAATACTACTATATTCATTCTCTGAGATATAATTAAATTGATGTAGGTTTTGTTTCAATAAAACAGCAACCAAATGTATTTGGAAGTCAGGTTTTACAAACTGTGTTATGAAAGTGACCTGATAAACTCACAGTTAGGAACTTCATGAACTTAATTAGGATAGTTTCCCTTTTTTCCAAAATATCTATGCCCAAAAAAAAGTGGTGTAACAGCACAATCTAACAACAAACTATAAAAAATTGGTTGAAAAGGGCTAACTCATCAGATCGATACAAAGCACAAAAACAATTAACAAAAACACTAAAGACAGTTAGTACAGATAAATCTTTTTGCTTACATTGATATTTGACTGATGGTTTTTAACAGTATTATATATATATCATATGTCTGAGAAATAATATTGCAATTTCTACAAATAGTATACACATACATTTTGTACATGTCATGCATGTAGACACCTTTAAAACAGGTCCTCAAATTATATGTTGCAGTTATCAAGCTTGACCAAAACACTGTATTGACCATACCGGCAGTAAATACCGAGAATTACTGAAATAATTGAAATTTTGGTAGGAAATTACTACAAAAATCAGTTCATATTTGGTAATATAATGGGTAAATGGACAGAGTCAATAACTCGATCTGTGTTTGGTGGTAATAGGCATTGTGTAGAAGTTTCATAACATTTGGTTGAGGCCAACTAAAGTTAGTGGACGGAAACCGACTTCAGCACGGACATAAAAAGGTAAAACTTAATGCCCCTGTCTAGCGGTGGCGGCATAAAAAATCATATCAATCAATTTTCGATTATAATTGATAAGCAGAACATCACTTAGAAATTATATGTGGTTGTCTTGTGGAGTTTACTTTCAACATGTCTCGATTGGTTCACCCTAGTTTAGGACTGTATATGGCATCCATTGATGCATTCTTGGATTTTTTTTATCATGATTGGTTGCAGACTTACATTTTTACCAAAGGATATTTCCTTTTACTGTTAACTCGAAATTTGTGACTTATATTTCTATTATGTCCCTTTTTGAGGACTTTACAATTTGGTCACATGAAACATTTACAATGTAGGTAATGTGATGTATTAGGCCTTCAGGGGTGTTAAGTTACTGTTTTGTTTGTTTTTCATCAAATGAAATTAAAGTTTACATGTATACACATGTATGCAAAATATACAGGTTGTAATTAGTTTTACCTCCACTATGCAAAATATATTGTATTAAATTTGTTTTACCTTATAGTATTAAAAGGGCTATGCATATGACTGATTAACTGTTTTGTAGACAAAACACCTACTTGGTGCCCCCTTTGTCAACTTTCTATTTTGTTTTGATTCCCAACCTTTAAAAGTCATCTTTAACTTTTCTGTTACCTAAATCTCCCACAATGACTTTGTCTACCTGTCTTGACCGGAACAGATGGTGGCTCAACATGTAATTAATTAGGGGTACGTGCTACAATCTGTCGAACCAAGTTCAGGGTGAAAAAGTACACGGAGAGCACATTGGCGTAAACAACTCGGCATTTTTTCGCCGGTTTGGTGTCCGCACACCGAAATTTCGTAAAATTTCATGACAAAAAGCAACAACTTTACCTGTATTGTATATATGATGTTAATATTCAGCATTAAACTCCATTAATTTTCAGTTGTTTTTGATTTATTCTTCAATGTTCCGTGAACTCTTCATGACAGAGTGACACACATCCAGACAAATCGTGACCCAGTTTTTCGCCCACGATTACCCGCAATTTGATTGGTTGATTGGAAACTATGACATTGTGAACTCATTACATATTTTTGTGTATTATTCGTTAATATTCCATTTACTCGTGCCGGTTTTCAGTTGCATTTAGGTAAAACTTTACATGTTCATGAAAAATTAAGCTACAACTTAATATTTCATTTGGAAAAGAGAGATTTTCGTTGTAAATAAGTATCTGGGTCATGAACTATGGCCAATCAAAATCTTCGTTTCAAAGGCCATTTTTGCTTCCCATCGCACTTTGAGGCTATGCGAAGAAAGAAGTAAACAACTATAAATAGAATCTATGTCACGTCATTGAATCTAGCCGAAAACAGCTGATAGGTCAGACGGAAAAACAGTTAAGAAATAATTGAAAAAGACAAATATGACATCCTTTGTTCACTGAAGATAAAACAATGAACTAATTAGATTAATAAAATTTACAACAAATCAATAATATATATTTTTTAATTTATAAACATTTCTTTATATCAAATATGGCATATATATCAGTAAATTATCCTAAATAATAATAAAAAAACCCAGAACAGACAAATAAACAAAAAATCAATATCTGGGGCGAATCCAGGATTTTTTAAAGGGGGCGTACAGAAAACAGAATATAAACCTGCCGAGCGGAGCGAACCTATTTTTTTAAAACGATTTTATGTTTTTTATAATAGATATTGACTACTGTTGTACAATTATGGGGTAACCTCAAGTTGTAGTGTGGAAAAGATTCAAAAGCTCCAAAACGTGCTGCAAGATTAATTATAAGGGTGTCTTTTGATTTTCCATCAACTTTAAAGTTTGGAGAGCAAGATTGGCGACTTTTTTTTACGAGGATACAATATTTTCAAGCTGTCTGCATGTTTTATTTTAAATGTATGAATGGTCTAGAACCTGATTATCTATCAAATAAATTTAAACGTGTAATGATCTTCATAATCATTCGCGCAGGCCGACAACATCAGGACTTCTTCATGTACCAATTCAAGACTTAATTCTGACTTTTTAAGAACATTTAAATCTAATGGTACTACTACCTGGAATAATTTGCCTCACAGTATTCAGGAAACAAATGATTTCTAAGTATAGATTTAAGATCTAATGTTCAAACTATTTTTTCTCTTCACAGAATCGGAAGATACCTGAATCAAATGTATTTTTCTTTTTTCTTTTATTGAATGCATATGTGCTTATTCAATTTTACAGCTACCAGTGGCGTAGCTAGGCGGAAGCTCGGAAGCCAAGGCTTCAACATCGTTTTGTCAAAAACAAAAAATCACAAAAAAAAAATTAAAAAAAAAAAAACGAGCTAGAGGTATGAGAGAGAGAGAGAGGAGACTCCGAGTGAGAGAAAGTGAAGGGGAAATAAATGGGCACTGTGCGGTTAAATAAACAAAAAGTTGTAGAAGTCAACGAGCCGATATCACTTCTCAGACTCCCGGCGTTCGTTCCCATCACCAGCGCGTTATTTCCCCTCTTTTTATAGCAGACGAATATTGTGTCTGCAGGGTGTTCTGCTATTTACAATGCAACGCAGAATTGACAATGCCTGTGACCAATTCCACCGCTGAGTCAACGCAGTTTCAGTGTCATGTGCCGGGTTAAAACATATCTGCGTTATACGATGACAACCGAACGACTTTCGGGGCTATAGATGTATCCTTCACGCGTATAAGGAGACGTCCATTGATAAAGTAATTGACAGTAGGCTTGCTTTTTTGTTGGTGAGAGAGATTGACTCTGACTCTTTTAATAATTCATATCCACACATACAATTCAAACGAGAAAACTAACGGCCTGATTTATGTACAAAATAATGAAGGAAAAACAAATATGATACAGCAACAAACGACAACCATTACACTGAATTACATGCTCCTGACTTGGGACAGGCACATACCGAATGTGGCGGGGCTAAACTACTTTGAAGGCACCATCCTGCCCTAACCTGGGTACCTACTACATTAACCTGAATATATTGTTTACATCTCAACGCTAAACAATTTTTAATGGTGTGGTTTTTGTCGAGCCTGCGACTTTTGTCACAAACGCGAGACATAGCGATCTTTACATTCCGTCGTCGTCGTTGGCGGCGGCGGCGTCCAGAAATATTCACTGTGTGGTTAAAGTTTTTGAAATTTTAATAACTTTCTTAAACAACCCTGAATTTCTACCAAACTTGGACAGAAGCTTGTTTATGATCATAGATAGTATCCATAAGTAAATTTTGGAAAAAAAATCCTTATTTTCCGTATTTTACTTATAAATGGACTTAGTTTTTTCTGCCAGTTAACATTACATTCACTCTGTGGTTAAAGTTTTTAAAATTTCAACAACTTTCTTAAACTTGGACAGAAGCTTGATTATGATCAAAAGCTAGTATCTAGAAGGAAATTTAAAAAAATTATATTTCCTGTTTTTCCGTATTCCGTATATAACTTATATATGGACATAGTTTTTCTTCCAGTTAACATAACATACAGTCTGCAGTTAAAGTTCTTAACACATTTATTAGATTCTTAAAGCAGGCGAGACACTGGTCTAAGTAAATATAATTTTTTTATCCCTCTGGAATCTCCTGGTTTTTACAGTTTCTTTTAGGAGCAATATATATTTTATAGGAGCAATATATATTTTTTCACAAAATTATCTGACTTGTATCAAACAAAAATGCTTTTGACTACACCTTAACATTCAATATTTTCAGTTAATATTTGTGGGTCTAAAACCCTAAAAACCAGGAGCTTTGCTACCAGGGTTTTGCCGATTTGCCCCCTGCCAATTTGGGCTTCTCCTTCAACATTTGTCTAGCTACGCCACTGGCTACAGTAATTTTATATCTTTAGCTTTATGGATTTTTTTTTATTTGTATTTTGCTTTTTGTATTAATGGCTTTTGAAGGCCCCAGAGAAGATTAGCATGTCAAATTATTAAATGAGCTACCTTTGGTAAATAAATAATTCTATTTATCATTTATTTATTTATATTTTTTCCGATCAAAGGGGGACGTACACTCTACATGCTCCTGCCCCTTGAATATTCAACTTTAAGAAAAAAAAAAACATAATAAAGGAAAAAAAATGATACAAAAAATTTCAGTGGTAATGAGATCGCGACGTCATATTTGTTAATTGATCGTTGAACATTTTTGTTGTAACTTGTAATCTTTTATTCAAAGTAGACACTAACTTCCTTAGCCTACATTTAGTACAACAAGAAGATGCTATATAAAATTCGTGGCAACACCAGTGGCAATTGAAATTTCGGGGCAATTCTAAACAATTCTCAATATAAGGCCTTATAGGGCATTACTGTAATCCAAATGCAATGTTCCACTAATGAACATCAGTATTATTCTTGTGCTTTTTGTTTTCGTCTGCTTTTAATCCGATCGTTCAATGTCTTCCTGTTTAAGCGAGTGAAATATGTATTGGCAACTGCATCGAGTAATGAACCGGTTCCCCATGATTTTTAGCCATAATATTGTGAGGGTCGGGGTAATATAGAGAATAAACACGGGCAAAAAGTGCAGAATAAATGAAAAAAATAGATAAAGAAAAGAGAAAAATGATATAACATTTAAAGAATAGAGAAATGAAGAACCCCCATGCAGACCCTCATATTGTGGTAATAACGTTTCAGTGTTGATGTTTTGTATCCCCAGTTCTGATGCTATCCTGCGGAACATGGTTTCTCTGTGCTGTTTATTCGGCACTCTAAGAGGTTCATTCGGCACTCTTAGAGGTTCATTGGGCACTATAAGAGGTTCTTTTGGCACTATAAGAGGTTTGTTGGGCACTATAAGAGGTTCATTGGGCACTCTAAAATGTTCATTGGACACTCTATGAGGTTCATTGGGCACTATAAGAGGTTTATTGGGCACTCTAAAAGGTTCATTGGACACTCTAAGATGTGCATTCAGGGGCGGATTCAGGCGGGGGCGTGGCGGGCGTGCGCCCCCTAAAATTTGCAATGCATGGGTAGTCCTCAACTTAAAGAATATTTTGATAATTTTACCTCAAAACATTTTTAAGTTTGCGGCCCCCCTAACCTAAAATCCTGGATCCGCCCCTGGCATTGTGCACTCTAAGATGTGCATTGGGCACTGAAAGAGGTTCAATGACACTGTACGAGGTTCATTGGGCAAGATTTTTAGAAACTATAAGGAGGTTTATTGAGCACTATAAGGAAGGTTCATTGGACACTGTAAGAGGTTCATTGGGCACTTTAAGAGGTTTATTGGGCTCCCTTAGAGGTTCATTGGCACTGTAACAGGTTCATTGGGCACTTAAAGAGGTTTAATGAGCATTCTTAACGTTTCATTGGGAACTGTAAGAGGTTCATTGGGCACAATAGGTGAAAGTGTTTTGCTGTTAAACATTCACACAGTTCTGATCGATGTTGACGACCCCTGTTTATGTTTATTTTGGTTCAAGTCCGCATATCGAGTTCTCAGTTGTGTCATGATTTTGATATGCTTTTATTGGTGATACTTTTTCATACAGGTCTCATCCTTTTCCCCTGATTTCCCATCTTCTTTACCATGCACAGTGGCGGATCCAGAAATTTTCATAAGGGGGACCTACTGACTGCCTAAGAGGGGGCCGACTCCAGTCATGCAACAGTGATTCCCTAAATAATCAACCAAATTTTTCCCACAAAAAGGGGGGGGGGTCCCCGGGCACCCTGGCCCCCTAAATCCGCCTCTGATGCACTTGTGTGTTGTATTTTTGTGACAGAAAACTCTCTTACCAAAAGAAGAAAAAAGAGACGAACAACAGTCAACAAAACACTACACCAAACTCGGATTGAGAGAAAGAAACCCAACCAAAACAGGAGATAAACTCGAGTTGAGAGAAAGAAACCCAACCAAAACAGGAGATAAACTCGAGTTGAGAGAAAGAAACCCAACCAAAACAGGAGATAAACTCGAGTTGAGAGAAAGAAACCCAACCAAAACAGGAGATAAACTCG